ATGGATGCCTGAACTCAGAGGAGTCCTGTCCATATCATGCAAAGGTTGGACCCTGCAAATACAGGTCTGAGGATTCTGTTGCCAATGACACTGGCTTTGTGGACATCCCTGAGCAGGAGAGTGCCCTCATGAAGGCAGTGGCAACCGTGGGGCCCATCTCTGTTGCTATAGATGCAAGCCATCTTAGCTTCCGGTTCTATGAAGATGGCATTTATTATGAGCGGCACTATAGCGGCGTAGATCTAGATCATAGCATACTGGTGGTTGGCTATGGCTTTAAAGAAGAAGAATCAAGTAACAATAAATATTGGATTGTCAAAAACAGCTGGGGTGAAGTTTGGGGCAAGAGTGGCTACGTAAAGATGGCCAAAGACCGGAACAACTACTGTGGAATCGCCACCGCGGCCAGCTATCCTACTGTGTGAGATGATGGTGATAAAAAAAGACTTGATTGAGAACAGGATATCCAGAGGAGGAATTTTTATCTTAAAACTGATCACATTTTACTTAATGGGATACAACACTTCAATCTTGGAGATCCAAACTGTGATTTGAATTCTGTGATGTTTTACATTGGTAAAATGTTATTTCTTTTATATAAGGATGTATAAATTTTTACCTTTTAAAATAAAAATTTTTATTACTTTTAATCCTAAAAAAGCCATTGATTTTTGAATATTAATTTGTATCTTGCTACTTGCCAAATTCATTTATTAGATCTACAGTTTTTAGTGGACTCTTTAGGGTTTTCTATGTATAATATCATGTCATCTGCAAATAATGATAGTTTTACTTTCTTCTTTCAAATTTGGATGCCTTTTATTTCTTCTCATCTGACTGCTATGACTAGTACTTCCAGTGCAATGTTGAATAAGAGTGGTGAAAGTGGACATCCTTGTCTTGTTCCTGATCTTAAGGGAAATGCTTTTAGATTTTGCCCATTGAGTAAGATGTAGGCTTTGGGTTTGTTCTATGTGGTGGCCTTTATTATGTTGAGGTATAATCTCTCTATTACCACTTTGCTAAGAGTTTTTATCAAAATGGTTGCTGGGTTTTATCAAATGCTTTTTCTGCATCTAATGATATGATCATATGATTTTTATCCTTCATTTTGTTTATGTGATGTATCACATTTATTGATTTGTAAATATTATACCAATCTTGCATCCCCAGGATAAATTCTATTTGGTCATGGTATATAATCCTTTTAATGTATTGCTAGATCTGGTTTGCTAATATTTCATTAGTTGTAATCAGTCTATTAAGGTTTTCTGACTCTTCCTGTTTCAGTTTTAGAAGATTGTATGTTTCTAGGAATTCACCCATTTTGCCCAACTCGTCCAATTTGTTGGCATATGCGTGTGTATACATATATGTATATTAGAGGACCAGTGCACAAAAATTATAAAGGCCACCACATAGAACAAACCCAAAGCCTACATCTTACTCAATGGGCAAAATCTAAAAGCATTTAAAAATTTGTGCCCTGGGGGGGGGGTCCCTCAGCCCGGCCTGTGCCCTCTCGCAGTCTGGGACCCCTCGGGGGATGACCACCTGCTGGCTTAGGGCTGCTCCCCGGGGGGATCGGGCCTAAGCTGGCAGTCAGACATCCCTCTGGCAGCCCGGCAGCCCTCGGGGGATGTCCACTTGCCAGCGGGGAGCAGACCTAAGCTGCAGTTGGACATCCTTAGCGCTGCTGAGGAGGCGGGAGAGGCTCCCACCACCACCCCTGTACTGGCAGCCATCAGCCTGGCTTGTGGCTGAGCAGAGCTCCCCCATGTGGGAGCACACTGACCACCAGAGGGCAGCTCCTGCATTGAGCGTCTGCCCCCTGGTGGTCAGTATGTGTCATAGTGACCAGTCATTCCCAGTCTTTCTGCTGTTAGGGTCAGTTTGCATATTACCCTTTTACTATATAGGATAGAGGCCTGGTGCATGGGTGGGGGCCGGCTGGTTTGCCCTGAAGGGTGTGCTGGATCAGGGTGGGGGTCCCACTGGGGTGCCTGGCCAGCCTGGGTGAGGGGCTGATGGCTGTTTGCAGCTGGTCACACCCCCTTCAGGGTGGGGGTCCCCACTGGGGTGCCTGGCCAGTCTGGGTGAGGGGCTGAGGGCCGTTTTCAGGCTGGCCGGCGACTGAAGCTCCCAGCCTCTCCTTTTTTCTTTTTCTTTTTTTATTCTGGGGTTTATTTACCTTCTATAATTGAAACTTTGTTGCCGTCACTGGAGCTGAGAGCCACTCCTGCTCGCTCCAGCTCTGAGGCCACGGCCTGCTGAAAGCAGGTATCTGGGGTTTGTTTAGCTTCTATAATTGAAACTTTGTTGCTTTCGGAGCTCAGAGCCGGGCTCGGCAGGCGGGGAACCTTGGCTTCCTCCATCACTGGAGCAAGCAAGCCTCCTGCTCGCTTCAGCTGCGTGGCTGCCAGCCGCCATCTTGGTTGGGTTAATTTGCATATCGTGCTGATTAGCCAATGGGAGGTGCAGTGAAGGAACGGTTAATTACCATGTTTGTCTATTATTAGATAGGAGATATATATTGACTTCAGAGATGAATGGAGAGGGAGAGAGAGATAGAAACATTAATGATGAGAGAGAATCTTGATTAGCCACTCCATGCACACCCTCTTCCAGGGTTCAGAGCTTGCAACCTGGGCAATGTGCCCCAACCCAGAATCAAACTTGATGCTCAACCAATGAGCCTCCATGTATTTGAATGTTTTTCAGGTTTTTGTTGTTGTAATTGATAGCAAGTTTCATAACATTGTGGTCAGAGAAGATGTTTTATGTGATTTCAATCTTCTTGAATTTATAAACTTATTTGGTGTCCTAACATGTGGTTTATTTTTGTTTGTTTGTTTGTTTATCTTTGAGAATGTCCTATGTGCACTTGAGTAGAATGTATATTCTGCTGCTTTGGGATGTAATGTTCCGTAAATATAAATTAAACCCATCTGACCCAGTGTGTCATTTAAGGTTACTATTGCCTTGTTCACTTTTTATCTGGAAGATCTAGTTATTGATGTCAGTGGAGTGTTAAAATCCCCTACTATGACTATATAGCTGTCAATCTCTCCCTTAATGTCTGCCAATATTTTCTTTATATATTAAGGTGCTCCAATGTTTGGTGCATATATGTTTACAAGGTTATGTCCTTTTGTTGGATTTATCCTTTTAGTATTACATGGTGACCTTCTTTGTCTCTTGTTATGGCCTTCTTTTGAAGGGAGGGGGAAAGAGAGAGAAACATCAATGAGAGAAAAGCATTTGTTGGCTGCTTCTTGCATGCCCCACACTGGGTATTGAACCTGCAAACTGGGCATGTACCCTGACCGGGAATTGAACCCGTGACCTCCTGATTCGGTGCTCAACTACTGAGCCACACTAGCCAGTCCCAACTATATTCTTTTTTTTAAAAAAAAATTTTATTGATTTTTTACAGAGAGGAAGGGAGAGGGATACAGAGTTAGAAACATCGATGAGAGAGAAACATCGATCAGCTGCCTCCTGCACATCTCCTAGTGGGAAAGTGCCCGCAACCAAGGTACATGCCCTTGACCGGAATCGAACCTGGGACCCTTCAGTCCGCAGGCTGACGCTCTATCTACTGAGCCAAACGGGTCAGGGCCCAACTATATTCTTTTAAAAAATTATTTTGGCTATTCTGGTTTGTTTGTGTTTCCATATAAATTTTAAGAATCAGCTGTCAATTTCTGAAAAAATAAAAGCAGTAGACTGCTTAGATTTTGATAGGGATTTATTGAATCTATATATCCATTAGAGGAGAATTTCTAACATTTCCATAAGTAGGAAGATTATATTAGGAAATTTAAAAAACTATAATAAAAAGAAGATAATACAAAATAAAGATACTATAGTTTCGCCATTCCAGTGTGGCTCAGTGGTTGAGCATGGACTTATGAACACAGTTCCTTAAGACAGGCACATGCCCCGTTGCGGGCTCAATTCCCAGTAGGGGGCGTGCAGGAGGCAGCTGATCGATGATTCTCTCTCATCATTGATGTTTCTATCTCTCCCTCCCCTTTCCTCTCTGAAATCAATAAGAATATATATATTTTTAAAAATATACTAAGGTTTCTTTGAAAAGTATATACCTTAGTTTGTTGGATAATGAAGTTTATTTTTAAATTTATTATTGTTGACAGTATTACAGATGTTCCCTTTTTTCCCCCATTGACCCCCTCCATCCTACCCTTGCCCCCTCAGGCCTTCACCACATTGTCTGTGACAATGGTTTATGCATAGATGATGAACTTTTAAAACATTTACCATTATTGAGTACTTATTGTATATAAGAGGATAATCTAATTGCTCTATATTATCTCATTATTTAAACCTGGCTCAACCTCTTAATTTTTTAAAGATGGAAAATTGTTATAATGATTGTTTCTCTAATGAAGATATTCTGACTCTAACATTGTCTTCAACAACTTAAAATAGCAAAGAGAATGTTCAGGCTATACTATGTTTCTTGTCCTCACTTTTATTCTTTTTGCTCCAGTTTTCTAAATCATTTCTAAATCTTGTACTTCGTGGCATGTTTACAAGGGATGTAAAATACTCTGCCAGTATATCTATTCTCTTGTAACACGTCACACATATGTACAAATATAAATATAAAATGAAAAAAAGGGAGCAGCTGTTTGAAGGTGATGTGAGGTGTATAACAATGAGCTTGTGGTATAGATTTGGATTAATGTTAGTAATTGTTCATTGTAGGGCACAGAGAAATGGGTATAAATTGTAAGGTACTGTTTCAAAGAAGTGTAGTGTGAATTTCTATTGTGACATGACATTTTTTTCTGTATTTTGATGTTCTCATCCTTTTAACTTCTGCCTTTGCATTAGAAGGCAGTGGCTATTGTGAGCTTTATAATGATCTTCCTATGGACAAGGTTTGATTTCTTTTGACATTTATAAAAAGCAGTTATGATAATGGGACAATAATAATATTTCATTTTTCACTACTTATCTCCATTCTACAGCCGTGCAGTCAGAGACCCTTGTGCATGAAGACAGATTTGTTCTATGGCCTCGGAGTTGGGTGCCGGGGACGATGGCGGCTGCACTGAGCTGGCAAAGCCCCTCTATCTTCAGTACCTGGAGAGGGCCCTCCGGTTGGACCATTTCCTGCGACAGACATCAGCCATCTTCAACAGGAATATTTCTAGGTATGTTAGTCCATCTTTCCTCTATGATGTTTAGTCATATTTCTGATTCCCATTTTCACTGTAGATTTTAGGGTTAAAATACTTAATGATTTTTAGCATGTTTGATATATTTCCTTTCAAATAAAACAGTGAACTTTTTCAAATGATCCATTTCTCCTAGAAAATGTTCAGCCTACTAACCATAAATTATAATATTTTGCTGGGTCAGCCCTGATTGTGTATTCACCATTCTTAATTTCTAGTGATGAAAGTGAAGATGGACTGGATGACAGTAATCCTTTATTGCCCCAGTCTGGGGATCCCTTAATACAAGTTAAGGAAGAACCTCCAAATTCATTGCTTGGTGAAACTTCTGGAGCAAGCAGTTCTGGAATGTTAAACACGTACTCATTGAATGGAGTTCTACAGTCAGGTCAGTGTGGTGTGAGATCCCTCTTTGGACTATCAGTTCTTCTGGGGTAGTCATCCTTTGATTTTATTATTCTTTATGTTTCTTTACACAGAATCAAAAGCTGACAAAGGGAATTTATATAATTTCTCTAAGTTGAAGAAAAGCAGAAAGTGGCTAAAGGTAAGAGAAGACAGAATGTTTAGAATTCAAATAACCTACTAACAATAAGTAAAAGGGAAAGATATTGATGCATTCTGGCACATTGGCAGGGATTTTTATAGACATGAGTCTTTTTTCTGGGTGTGGTTTTTTGAAGAGATTATAGACAAGAATCTAGAAGAATGAAGTTTGTTTTAGTAAACATTATTGAGTACAAATATCTCTATATATAAGAGGCTAATATGCAAAGTGTCCCCTCGGGAGTTCGACCGGGAGACCAGGAGTTCGAGCGCTTGCTATGACGTGTGCTGACCACCAGGGGGCAGATGCTCTGACTGGTAGGTTAGCTTGCTGCTGGGGTCCGGTTGATTGGGACTGAGCGAGACGGGCCGGACATGCTCTGGAGCCCTCCTGCAGTCTCTCCCTGGCTGGCCAACCTCCCGCATGGGTGGGAGGTAATTAACCAAAGACCATCCTATATAATAAAAGGTTAATATGCAAATAGACCGAATGGCAGAATGACCGGTTGCTATGATGCACACTGACCACCAGGGGGCAGACGCTCAACACAGGAGCTGCCCCCTGGTGGTCAGTGCACTCCCACAGCAGGTGCGCAGCTCAGCCAGAAGCCTGGTTCATGGCTGGTAAGTGCAGCCGCGGTGGCGAGAGTATCTCCCACCTCCATGGCAGCACTAAGGTTGTCCAACTGCCATCAGTCGAACATCCCCCGAGGGCTCCTGGACTGCCAGAGGGCATAGGCCAGGCTGAGGGACACCCCCCCCCTCAAGTGCACGAATTTTGTGCACCGGGCCTCTAGTATTAGATAAGATCCTTGCCCTCACTGGCTCATATTGTAATTGGGACATTCAATCTACTTTTCATCTGTCCTTGAGTAGTTTATTCACTCACCAAATGTTGATTAAGTACATCCTATGTGCCAGATACTGTTGTTCATAGACAGGATTCCTGCCCTGTGGAGCTTACATTCTAATGGAGGGAGGCAGTGAGTAAGCCTGTAAACAAATAAATAAATATGGCTTTAAAGAAGTAACATTTTAACAATTTCTGAATGATCAGAGAGAACTGTGTGAAGGTTTAGGATGTGAGCATTTCAATCAGAAGGAATAACTGCAAAAGTTCTGAGAAAGAAAGCAACTCAGTATGTTTGAGGGAGAAAGAAAACTTCTATACTTGGAGGACAGTGAATCAGTGGATGGTAGAAGATGAGATTAGAGAACCTGATCACTTAGGGTCTTTGTACACCATGTCAAGGAATTTGTATTTTACTCTAGTTACAGTAGTAAGTTATTGGAGTCTTTATAAGCAAGAGAGTGGTTCAGTATGGTTAAGATGCTTACAAGATTACTGTCAAACTGAGTTAAGGATAGCATTTCTTCTATTGAAACTAATTTTTCTCTATTTCATACTTTTCTTGTGAAGAATGGAAAGTAACTTAAAGGTATTCTTTTATTATTATCATTAGGCCCTTTTAAAAACTCACGTGCGAAAGTCCAGATTGCGTCAGCTCAGTGAGGCTGTAAGTTGTTGGGAATTCAGAAATCTTTGTTTAGCCATCACATATTTTTAAAAATATTTTTATTGATTTTTGAGAGGAAGGGAGAGGGAGAGAGAGATACAAACATCAATGATGACGGAGAATCATTGATTGGCTGCCTCCTGCACACCCCCTACTGGGGATCGAACCCACAACCCAGGCATGTGCCCTGGACTGGAATTTAACCTGGGATCCTTCAGTCCGCAGGCTTACGCTCTATCCACTGAGCCAAACTGGCTAGGGCTAGCCATCACATTTTTAAAAATCAAGATAAAATTCACATGCCATAAAATCTACCCCTTTAAAGTATGATTTAGTCATTTCTGGTATATTCATAAAGTTGTGTGCATCAGTCATCACTGTCTAATAACAAAATATTTTCATCACTTCAGAAAGAAACCTCTGTACTCATTAGCAGTTGCTCCCCATTCTCTACATACTCAGCCTCTGGCAAACACTAATCTGTTTTCTGTCTGTAAGGATTTGCCTCTTCTGGGCATTTCATATAAACAGAATATCATATAATATGTTGCCTTTTGTGTCTGGCTTCTCTCACTTAGCATAACATTTTCAAACTTCATTCATGTTGTGGCACATATCAGTACTTTATTCCTTTTTATTGATGAATAATATTTGATTATCTGTATAATACTACATTTTGTTTATCCATTCATGAATGAATTTGGGGATTGTTTCTTTATTAGCCATCACAGCTTGCTTTCTATATTCTTTTGTATCCTACTAGAGGCCCGGTGCATGGATTTGTGCACCGGTGGGGTTCCCTCGGCCTGGCCTGCAGGGATGGGGCCGAAACTGGCTCTCTGACATCCACTGAGGGATCCCGGATTGTGAGAGGGCGGTTCTTCAGTGATGCACCCCGAATCGGGCTCCCTCCTCTCTTCTCCCAATATTATGTCATTTTCTGTATCCGTCTTGCTTCTTTCATCTAACTTTACCCTAAGTTTGGAGGTAACTGATGACTTGTGGGCATTTAGCTGCAAAATGCTATTAGCAAACAGGATTTACTAAGCCTGGAATCTAGTCGGCCTAGGGCAGGACCCTGCTTAATGTCAGGCTCCCACCCAGGCCCCTCTGCCCAGGCGGAGTCCTGTAGCGGTAGGAACCTCCTTCCCACCTGAGCTGCTCCTTCGCCTCCTTCTTTCCCTAGAGGTTGCCTGCTGGCGCTACTGTCCACCTGGAAGGAGGGAAGCTGCGGCTGGTTTCCCAGCTGAGTGTGGTAGTGGGAAAATTAACTGCCTCCACTGGAAATCGATATTAAGCCGGTGGGCCAGCATGGGCTTGAGATGTCGGGGCTGCAGCCAATAGGTCCTGCACGTCTCATCATTTAGCTAATGGAGTTGAAAAGTTTCTGTAAGGGCCAGACCCACGACCTCTGCAATGGGCTAGAGGCCCGGTGCACGGATTCGTGCACTGGTGGGTCCCTTGGTCTGGCCTGCGTGGATTGGGCTGAAATCGGCTCTCTGACATTCTCCGAAGGGTCCCGGATTTCGAGAGGGCGGTTCTCGGGTGACGCACCTTAGAATCAGGCTCCTTCCTCTCTGGTTCTGGGTCACCCAAGGACCGCAGCTACCAAGTCACTGCAGCTCGGCAGCTCCTGCATTGAGTGTCTGCTCCCTGTTGGTCAGTGTGCATCATAGCTACCGGTCAGCTGGTGGGCCGGTCGCTTAGGCTTTTATATATGTAGATAGGTATTTTTTTGTTTTGTTTTTTCTTTGGTATTTGACATTTAGTTAAACTATTATATATATAGTGTAAGTAGTTAGTAAAATCTAGCTTTGTTGATGTTTATAGCATTTCCCATGTTTTAGTGCTCTTTAATTTGTGTGTACTAGGTTTAATGGGTATCCTTTTGTTTTTCAGTTGGATTGGCAAAGAGTAGTATAAGGGAAACTGGAATGACTGTCCTCTAGCTGTTTTTGTCATTGTTTTGGGATCTGGAAAAAAAAATGCTTGTGTTGTCTTGAGGTGGTGAACACACAGTACAATATATACAGATGATGTACTACAGAATTGTACACTTGAAATCTATTAATTTTATTAGCCAATATCACTCCAATAAATTCAATTAAAAAATTATTGTATTGTAAAAGGAATTGTTTCAAAGCAGAAGTTCCATTTCCTCCCTTTTTCAGAACATTCTGCTAAGTGATGAATCCAGTGAGGCAGATTCTCAGAGTGAAGACAATGATGAAGAAGAGGAAGAAGAGGAAGAAGAAGAGGAGGAGGAAGAACTGAATCTCAGCAGAGAAGAACTTCATAACATGCTGCGGCTGCACAAATATAAGAAACTTCACCAGAATAAATATAGTAAAGACAAGGAGGTAAGAGTTTGAGGAGACATTGCAGACCTTCATACTGGGTATTTACCCTCTGGGTTATATTCATTGAAGATTTTATATATATATATATATGTATTTTTTTTTATTTTTTATTTTTCACTCAAAACACCTTTAATGTAAAAACACCCAGCGTCAATACCAACTCAAATCCAGATGTGTTTTAATCTCCCTGCCTGCTGACCTCAGAGTGCACAACCTGTCAAGGATAGGGCCACTGTGAGAGGAGCACGGAGAATGGAAGCTGGAGGTAGGGGCTTACCCAAAGACTCGGACCCAAGTCCCATTTGTGGGGAGCCAGCTTGGAGTGCTTGGGGGGACAGGCAAGAACCTAGGACTGTCTTGGTTGCTGGTTGGCTCACTGGCCTCTCCTCAGCATCTTGAGGAACCATTACACAGGATCCCAGGTAGGGCTCAGTGTCCATGTGAGGCCACAGGGCCCTCAGCCCAGGGAAGGCAAGCACGCAGTCTGCCTTGGGCTCCAGAGGAGCAGCAGGTAGATTTCCAGGGTTGAGCAGATCACAGCAGGGCAGACCGCCAGCAGGCCAACTGCCTGAGTAAGGTGGCTACAGTCCATTTGTCTGTCTCCCAGGGGCTGCTAGGTGGTAGGCTGGCTACTGTACCAGCCGGTACGTCATGTATCTGCCTGCGGTTTTGCTGGGCCTCATAATCTTCACTACCTGCCCTTGCTTTATCCCAGAGTAGTACGCACAGGGTCTCCAGCCTGGATCCTGGGCAGCTGGTTTTCTTGGAGTTTATATCTGGCCAGCAGCTCTGTCACCTCCTCCTTGGTCATGTCGACATGCTCTGGGACCAGCTTGTGCTCCGTGGTGGTGATGAGCAGCTCCTGCTGCAGAAACAATTCCAGGATGTACTTGGGAGCCATGTCGACCAGGAACTGCTTGGTGGAGGGTGTCATGCCCTGCTGCACCACAATGAGGGCTCGGGTGACGTTTTCCTTCTGCATGCGTTGTCAGTACACCTTGATGGTCTTGATCCCCACCTTGGGCTCCTCTGGGAAAAAGACAAACATCTGGTCAATGGGGTCATTGTGGGCGACAAGCACCATGAGGTTCGTGCGCTGTGGCCATCCTTCACTTGGCTTGTCCCCAAACTGGGCCGTGAACTCCTAGTTCTGGTCCAGCTCATCCTGAGTCACCAGGTAGCCTCGGTCATGGCACAGCTGAATAATTGTCTTGCAAATCTTCCACAGCCAGTATGTCTCTTTCTCGTCATCCATGCCTACCGCTGCTCACACTCACTGCGCCTGTGCCGGCCAAGACCCTTGTGACTGTGCCTCAAGATACATCATTTTAACTTTATATTTAGACTAGAGGCCCGGTGTATGGATTTGTTCACCGGTGGGGGTCCCTCGGCCTGGCCTGCAGGAATTGGGCCAAAACCAGCTCTCCAACATCCCCCGAGGAGTCCTGGATTGCAAGAGGGTGCAGGCCAGGCCAAGGGACCCCACCAAGATTGGGGCTGAGGAGGGCTCCAGGGTGTGTCTGGCCTGTCTCACCCAGTCCTGGTTGGGGGCCGTCTTTCCCAGTCCCGATCCGACCGATCGTGGTCGGCCTTTCCAGGGAGGGTTCACGGGAGGTTGGCCAGCCGGGGAGGGACCCGATTGGCCGGACCCCAGCAGCAAGCTAACCTACCGGTCAGAGCATCTGCCCCCTGGTGGTCAGTGCTCATCATAGCAATTGGTCGTACGGTCGAACGAACGGTCGGACACTTAGCATATTAGGTTTTTATTATATAGGGTGGTGGTGGTGGTGGTGGTGGTGGTTGTTACAGTGATACCTTTATTGAAATATATTTCACACACCAAAAAAATTCAGTCTTCTAAGGTACACAGTTCAGTGGTTTTTAGTATATTCATAGAGTTGTGTAACTATTATTACTATCTAATTTAGATTATTTTCTCACTCTGAAATGACTCTATTTTCCTTAGCTGTTGCCCTCTCCCCATTGTCTCCATTCCTCTCAGTTCCAAGAAGTCATGAGTCCACCACTTGTCTCTATAAATGTGTGTATTCTAGATGTTTCATACAAATGGAAAAACGTGTCCTTTGTATTAAGCTTCTCTTACTTAGCATAATGTTTTCAAAGTTTATGTTGTAGCATAAATCCATACTTTGCTGCTTTTTATTGCCAAATAATATTCCATTGTATGGACATATCATATTTTATTTGCATCAGTTGATGAACTAATTGGATATTTTTTTTACTTTTTGGCTATTATGAATCATACCTACGAATAGAGTTGTTTCCGCTCTAAGCTGTTATGAGTATTCCTGCCATGAACATTTGAGTTCAAGTTTTCGGTATGGACATGTATTTTCATTTCTCTAGGGCAGTGGTCGGCAAACTGCGGCCCCTTGAGTATGGCTCTTCCACAAAATACCACGTGCAGGCGCGCACGTACAGTGCGGTTGAAACTTCGTGGCCTCACTCAGGGGCCAAAGAGCCGCATATGGCTCGCAAGCCGCAGTTTGCCGACCGTTGCTCTAGGGTATATATCTAGGAATCACTGGGTCATAGGGGAATTTTATGCTTACCCTTTTAAGGAACTGCCAGATTATTTTCCAAAGTGACTACACCATTTTGAATTTATTGGGTTTTTGTTTGTTTGTTTTCTTTTTTTTTTTTAATTTTTTATTTAATCTCTTTATTGTTCAGATTACATTTGTTCCTCTTTTTTTCCCCCCCCCATAACTCCCCTCCTCCCAGTTCCCGCCCC